GCTGAATTCAAACGGCCGGGGAATAAAAATCCCCCCGGCTGGTACCCTTCGGTGCCGTGGGTGAATGCTGTGCATACAGTTTGATACAGTGTTGGGGTTTTTTTTAAACACAAATACATTAAAATCAGGTCTACAGAATTATGACAAAGGCTGCTTCTGAGCAATATGTTGAATTTCAAGAGTGTATCCATTGATCTTTCCATTCAGGTAGTGGTTATGTGGATTTTTATGGCCATGCGAAACTAAATTATCTTTGCTAACCACCTAGAATGAGAGAAATCACTGATCTATATCATAAACGGGGACAAAAAAAGCCCATTATAATAATGTCAAACTGATGACTTAATACTTTACCTGGATCAAAATCAGCTGAAAATATTTGGGATTCATCCAGTCCCAAGTACATCTCCTTTCCCACCTCTTTTCAGGTGGGCTACTGCAGAAGGGCAGTTTCTTATATGCAGGACATATAAACACTATTTATTCTTTAAATTTAACCTTGATTTAACCTAGTTTTGTGTTTGGAAAGGAAGTCAGCAAAGGATATGTTGCAGTCACTGATGAATCTGCAAAAAGAGACTCTTTAGCACCACATATGCGGCATTTGTCTTAGGATTTTCATTAATAAAGAGAAGCTAGCTGATGTGTAAATTGTGTGTGAACTTTGAATGATATTTTTCTACTTTTGATTTTACATGAAGACTTACTTATGTTGTCATTTGCTAAAGGTTTTCCTTTTGCTGTTTCCCAAAATCATTCAGAAGCACTGGTATTCTTGACAGGATGAGGTGCTGCTATTGATCTGTTCCAAGTTCCAGATTTATAACCTTACCTGGCACAAATGAAGGAGATCGGCCACGAGGGTGTGATCACCCTGTATCCTGCTGGGATACAAGAGTTAATCTAAATGAATCTATAATCCGAACACAACTCAGTTGTTGTAGAATACCAAAAGGGTACTGTAATTAAATCCTTTGAGAATATATCAGTAGATCTGGAGGCATTGACATATGTGAATAGGAAATTCCATTGATGGCTGAATGTAGGTTTATAGAGGAAGAGGGAGAGATTTGTTTCAGCAGAGTTACTGCTCAACATAAAGCATGTTTCCAGTTTACCTTGCACTGAGTTTGTAGAAAGGCAATAAAGCTTTGGCTTTTGGGGAATTCTGCAGTGCAAACCAAACCTATGCTACTGTTGGTTGTTGTATTGTGAATTAATTTTCATTTATATCGTAATACTATTACTCCAATAGTAATTAATAAGAAATGGAGAATTCAATATTAATCTGTAAAACAAAAGAACATTGCACACTGTTCTGAAATTTTGTAGGGATTTCTTTAAATAATATAAGAGAAGACAAATCATGCAAGTTCTTTTAAAAAGCATATTTAACAGTTTTTGTAAAAATGTGTTTCTAGGTCATTGTTTATAATGTAGCTGCATCTGAAGAAATACAAAGTGGCTTTGTGTCATGCTGACTAACAACGTAGGGCATCATTTAATGGTACATCAAGCAATGATTCCAAGAAGCCTGAAGCTGTTGCCTTACATTTGTGGCAACAGAATGTTTTCGGGTTACAAACCGAAAAGCAACATCCAGGACTATTACAAAATTCTTGAGCTTGAGGAAGGATGTTCCCTCGATGATATCAGAAACTCGTACCGAAGTCTTGCCAAAAGGTACCATCCAGACAGCGGTTCTGCCACAGCTGATTCTGAAGCATTTATGAAAGTAGAAGAAGCATACAGAGTCGTGCTCAGCGATGTGGCAAACAAAAAGAAATCGAACGAGAGTAATGAAGAGGAGGAAGACCCATTCAAATCAAAAGCACCACAGCATAGACACTACCTGAGTTTTGAAGGTGTTGGTTTTGGAACACCAAGCCAAAGAGAAAAGCAGTACATGCAGTTTCGAGTAGACCGTGCTACTGAACAAGTGTTGGAGTACCGGAAGCAGAGACTTGAAAGCCAGTATGCTGTGACTGATCTAATGAAAGCCAAAGATGTGAGGCAGAGCAAAAAGGTGAAAATAACTCAGGCGGTTGAACGGTTGGTTGAGGACCTCATCCAGGAATCGATGGCAAAAGGCGACTTTGACAACCTCAGCGGCAAAGGAAAACCTTTGCAGAAGTTTTCAGACTGTCCGCATGTCGATCCTATGACTCACAACTTGAACAGGATTCTGATAGACAACGGATACCAGCCCGAGTGGATCCTGATGCAGAAAGAAATACGGGAAACTATTGAACGGTTAAGGAAGAGTATAGTGGCATCTAGAAGTAAGCTTGGAGGCCCGATGACACCATATAGGCAAAAGCAATGGAATCGTATTTGTGAGCAATTTATAGAAGACATCAGGAAATTAAACAAAAGAATTGACAACTTCAATTTAGTTGTTCCTATTCTGAGCAGACAAATGGTGCACTTCAATGCAGACAAAGAAATTGTTCGAGCACAAAAGACTTACGAAGCCTTGATGGAAAACAGAGAGGCTTCTAATTCAGACACAAAGGAAAATGAAGAGGAAAACGTTAAAAGGTTTGGGTGGAAGTCTTCTCTATTGAAGTGGTTAAACCTTACATGAAATAAGATAATACTAATTCATCTGTCTTGTCAAGATTTTGAATGCACTTTATTACTGAAACTTGTAGCACTAGAGAAATTTCAGGTACACTGAAAATGTGAAATCCAGCTGTCCACTGTTATACCAGTTAAAAGAAATTGGGTTGTCTGATACGCATTTGCAGATGCTTAATTGATTTATTTGTGAATATTGTTACGGAACAAATAAATTCAGTTATCCTCTTGCAGTTCATTTTACTTCTGCTTAAAATTAATGCTTTACTTTAGCATAGAGTATAATCACTTTTACAGTCTGTTATCTCTTCAAAAGGTGAAACTGAGGCATAACAAAAACACATTAAGGACGAAGTGGAAGTGGAAGTCTTGCTGTGCTCTGTTAGTTCAACCTTTATCCTTTCTTATTTAAATGCTTACAGCATAAATTGTTGACAGGCTTCATGTGCTTTTTTAAAAGTGCATTCATCTCTTCAAGGTTAAATTAAATGGGAATGAAGGGAGGGTTCTGGGTGTCTGGCCTTGGACTGTACATTCTGCAGAAGTCCATTTTTGAATGTGGCTTTTAATACACAAGGAGGTCTCAGAAAGCATCTGAGCAAATAAGGAAGACTGGCCAAAACTGTACCCTAGTCGCAGGGCTTTTTGGGAGGCGAAAGGAGAAGGGAATATTAATTTTCAAAAGTAATTGTACCATTTAAATATTTTAGAATATTGGCATCAAATAACTTACTGTGAAATATTGCTGTACTATTAAATGGCTCGGAGGGTGGGAAAACCTCCATGATGCCAAAGATTTATTTACCTTTTGTAACTGGACTTTGCCTTTGAAACGTGTCACTGGATATTTCAGTCTCTGTGTGGGCTCGCTCCCTCCCTCCCTCATGCCTCTGTGACTCAGACTGTCATTGTCTCCACCTGTGCAGTTGTACTAGTCTGTAGGAAGGTGTCCCACAGGCTCTGGTATGCCACAGAGGGGGAATTTCCAGTTTCAGAAATGGAAGCCAGATGATGATCGCAACCATCCTTTGGCAGATGCCCCAGCACCAGCGGAGTCTGGGTTAATATGTTTTGCTTTTGGGCAGATAACACTGCACACGCTCTTCTTGGTCTTTGTGCTCTTGCTCATCTAGGCGAGGTCTTAACATGCAGGCAGAACATTGTTCATATTTGTTGGTAGAATGGATTAATTGAAGTAGCATTTGTCAGGGGGTATTATATAATCTGGTAATACAATTGAATATAATTTATTTATTGGTAAACACTATGGGTCTTCCAAGCCTTTGTGCTATGGCAAGTATGTAATAGTGATGTTTGTCATGTTTTAGAAAATAGGGCTAATCGCAGCTTCCTTTAGCATAGCTTTTTGTAGGAATTACAGTGGCAAAAGTAAAAAGAACAGCATTATGTGCAGACTGAGCTATGGCCCATAGGTCGTGCCACTGGGATGCTTGTGCCGTGCATTGGTGTTAGCTGAAAGGGTTAGATCATGACTAGTAGTTCCTTTCTGCTGAGATTCAGTTGGGAGGCATGGGTATAGTCGCGGTGCATGGATCAGTTGGGCCAGCCAGTAATTAATGTACTCTTCGGTGGCTCTCCAAGTTTGCAAAGATGGTAAGAAATAATGGGTGTCTTGCAGATATAGGGGTTAAGTCCTATATAGTGGTGAAGTGGGAACAAAATAGGTGTGTGGTCTTGATTTGCCATATAAGTAGCCCCAATCTAAATGTTGAGAAAGAAGAATGGAGTTACATGGCAGTCCTCTGTTTCGGGGGACTCAGTAAGAGTTCAGATCACTGTCCTTTGTGTTACGGATATGATTCATTGAGATCGTGGTGTTAGATCAGGCAATACCAGCAGGCTTTGACCTCCTAAGTTCCTCATTCATTTTAGCAGCTGTGTGTATGAATGTCTGTTTATTTAAATGACTTCTCTATATGTTCTTGCTTTTAATGAAAACTGTAAGTAAATTAAACATACTTTCATGGAAGTCCTTTGACATAATACTCTTTAAAAGATCAGATTTTGATTCTCATTATGATCTACAGGAATTGGATCTGAATTGCTGTTTAATCTAATCCAGTGACAGATTTAAAAAGAGCTAATTGCAAATGAAATTCATTGCACAAGAGTAAATAGAAACCAGATTGCTATAAATCCAGCTTTGATGGAATCCACTTTGGCTCACAATGAAGATAAGTATCAGCAATTTAAATATTTAAGTTGCCATAATGGATGAGTCAGCATACTGAGCAATTTTTATGTTCCTTTTAAAACTACTTGGTTTTAAATAGAGTAGATGTGACCCGACTCTCAGCACTTTAAATGAGCCTTACGCTGTTGTCATGAAAAATTGCCAGGTACAAAAATCCACTGCTTCAATGTTTACAGCAATGATGATGAAAAAAAGAATTTAAATTTTTATTTTCCCCCAGTGTGTGGAGGAGTATATTTTTGCAGGGCTGGTCTATTATTTTGTTGCTCTGAGCTCACAAAATCTTAAGAGCAGTATACAGTCAGTGCTTCTAGAACAAGTAATACCAAGTACTGCATACAAATTAGAACAAACCCAGGAGAGAATGGCTTTCAGAAGTCATTTTTCTATCTGGCACTAGACTGTTAATTTGGATTTGATTACTGTTACCTTATTACTGACCTCAAAAGGATGAAGTCATTGCTGATTCCAGATACAAATACATGTTGCTTATTCCCAGAACTCCCTATGTGTTGGTCTAATTACCATACAGCTTGTGGCTTAAAAGGCTTATCTAGATGACATCTTAATACGAAGACAAAATATTATTTGTATGTATTATTAGGAGATATTAATTGAGGTATCAGTTTTTTTCGGGGTGATGAATCTTTCTTGCCCAACAGTCTGATGGCTCTTTCAAGCACTGTTAGCAAGCTGTACAACTACATGTTAGTGCTTTCCAGTAAAAGACATACAGCTGTAGGCTGTCGGAAATAACATTGCAGGCTGTCCTATAAACTGAAGAGTTTCTACATATGCTGTAAATGCTGAGGCCTACTGAATACCTTTCTATTTCAGAGTAATAATGGCTCTCGGGATGCACATGGGGTTACAGAGAAGGGTCTGAGGAGAAGGAATAAAAGTCACGAGAAGCAAGAGCAAGGCAAGAGACAAAGACAAGCAGTGGGAGAAACTGCTGCTGCGAGGGAGGAGGGTACGTGTGTTGTCTCCCTTGAAGATATTTCCCTACTGGTTGCATTTCCCTGGATGTGGCAACCACACAGTTCACCTTCCCACAAATGGGATCAGCTGTTAAGAAAACAGGTGTGTGTGCACGCGTGGGAGTGGGAGGGGTGATAGGAAGGGCTTAGCAAGGAGAGAGGAGACAAAGAGGGCAAGCAAACAGTGTGGAATGCTTCCAGATGAGGGTGAGAAGATGGTGGCACGTGTGTTAACAGGGATAGAGATTGGAGAGCAGGCATGTATGAATTACAAAAAAAAAAAAGTTTACAACTTTTAACTTTGAGTGGGATTTCAAGGGACCACAGCTTAACTGTCTTTTAATGAGAAACTGAATATTCTGTTGCCATTTGGTTGCATCTTTGTAGGCCTTTCTCACAATTCTGCTTTTCTTACTTGGTGCCCCATATTGCTCTTTACTGTTATTGAGCAATCTCCTTGAAATGCCTTCCCTTTTTTTGTTTACCCTGTTCCACTCTTAAATTTCTACTTCCCACTTTTCAGGCTGCCTCTGTACATTTTATGTTATCTGAGTGAATTTTCTAGACTTGCCACTTACTAACTTCAATACTTAATTCAGCTGCAGCATAGTATCTCTAAAATCTTGACATCAAATCTTTTGTAACTGGCAGCAGTCTGTATTTTCTGAGAAGATGGTTCTTTCTGAGGGTACCTCTGGTGGTGGTATAGCCCTCTTTCCAGTGCTCGGGCGACAAAAAGAGCAGTGAATCCTGTGTGTGCGAAATACAAAGGGAATTCATTGAGAGTCAAAAATCTTGGATCGATTGGTCTGTTTTGGGCACGTTCAAAGCCACGTTGCAAGCAGACATGTATTCATGTCCGGTGTGCAACCGAAATGTCGTGGTGAAGAGCTCTCGGCTCTCTGTGACCACGGCAGGCATGGAGAGATCCTGGGGTGGGTGAGTAGTGCCGGGCAGTGCTCCCCGCTGGCTTGGCCTCAGCCCCTGCTCGCTTATCGCGTTCGGGAAATGGGAGTGTGATGAGGAAGAACGTGAGCATCGTCAGCAGGCTGCTAATGAGGGTGGCGTACCGGTGGTGCAAGTACTGCTTGGACTATGCTGAAGCTGGCTGGGTAGTGGGGTGAAGTCAGGAAGAAATAATTCAGATGCTTCTTCCCGGACAGCTGAGAGGAACACAGAATTACTTACTAATTCTCTTTATTCTCATTAAAGCAGACTCAGGGCTAAGGTGTAACGGCGTTTTGTGGTGAAGTACATATATTCCAACATGGGAGCTGCTTGAAAAATGTTAAGGTTAGCACATCGTACTTCACTCGTGAGCCAGTGCTGACGTGGGTAAGAAGCGTTTTGGTAGCTGAGGTGACGCCAGGCGTGAGTGAGATGTGGCGCCCAGACCCGCAG